GGGGGGGGGGGCCAACTTAGACACCCATGGTAGTCACTGAAGAAAATAATCTCGGATAACTGCGACGTTGGCAGTCAAGATTTTTAACAGGTCAGCATCCTAAGGACACTAACAATTTTAATCAAAGTGACTATCAACCATCCATTCTTTCACCCAGCGATCTAGAAGGCGTTCTAGGTGCTGGAGATTGAAAGCTCCACGCTTTATTTTTCAAACAACATCATTCACACAGGTCTTTAACGCACCTACGACTGCAAGACACTAGGCGAGATAGCCCTCAAGAGCGGTTTCGGTCAAGATGCACAAACGTTCCCGAGTCGGCCTCAAAAACATACACGATCACCCTAAAGCAAGGCTCTTAGAAGTCGTTCCCGACCCCGCATGACGTAGCGAAAGCTCTGCTTAACTGGCCATCCAAATCCAGGGAGCACGACCGAGCAGGTTTTGTGCCGGCCACAGTTTTCCGAAGAACAGCTGCTCTCATAACAAACCCAATCAACTTCCCCGGCGAGGGCCGCCAAGGACGATGGCACGGCCTTCCGGAACGAGCCTGGTAGCGGAAGTACCTTGTCCTCATTCCTGACTCCACCCGTGCTACGCGGCTCTTCAAACTCCGAAGCCGGTGTACCCCACATGGGGGACAATCGCCAGAGTCTCAGGCCTAACCAAGGCTGGGGCCCACACGCCGCGATTCACCAGGAAGACGCGAGTGGTCTGCGGCCGCGAGGGTGTGCGCGCGTGACACCCCTGCTCCTTCCCGCACCGGCTAGAAAGTCCCCGAACACTAACTGTCCCCCACTGCGAAGGCCGCTACCAGTTCTAGGGTCCGCCGGGCGTCCTTCGCCCGCCTCGGCGCCTCCCAACCTCCCCGAAGCCACCCGGCAGCCCCGCGTCGCCCGCGGACTTCAATGTGCGTTGGGGGTTGGCGGAAGGAGGCCGAATCCTGAGGAAGGGACTCCGTCAGCGGACGGTGGCAGTTGGCCATAACCTACTTCGACCTCCAGGTACGCGGCAGGTGGGCGGCGCCGCCCGAAGTCGGTGGGTCACTCACCCCTCGTCTCAGGCAAGCCCCTTAGCAACGTCTCTTCTTGTCGACCGCGGCCATCTTGGATGTGGAATGTCGGGGAACTACGTCATCACGCCGCGTCCGTGACAAACCCCGAGCGACTGGAGGGGCGGGGAGAGCAGGGTGCCTGTCAACCAATCAGAAGAAAGTAGAGCTCGCAAAAGAAACGGGCCGCCTGTCTCCTCCCCGCGCGTCCCGCGGGTCAGTGGCTGCTGCGTGCGAGGGGCGGGCCTGCCAAAGGGTCCCTCCCTTTGGTCCCGCCCCCCGGGGCGAAAGAGCCGTCTGGAGCAACCGAACCTGCTAACGGAACTTGGGCTCCGGGCGGGGCCCGGGGCGCCCTTCGCCCAATCAGAGCCTGGGCGTGGGCGAAACCAGCCAATCGCGGCCACGGGGCTGGCGGAGGCGGAGCCGGCCGCTCTCGCCCCCGGGAGCCGCCAGCCCACTGGCTGGGGAGGACCCCGAACGGAAGGGCGGCTGGGCGGCGGGG